CTTCATGGAAGCTGGATGGAAAGTTGATGGAGCATGCAGGGGGCGCTGTCCGTGCCGGTAAGGGACATGTGGGGAAATGAAGGGAAAGGTGGATGGAAATGGATTGTGGAAATTGGATGAAAACTTCATGGAAAATGGATGGAACGTTGCTGGACAATGGATGGAAACTTCGTGGAAAATGGGTGGGTAATAGATGGACACTTGCGGGAAAATGGATGGATTATGTATGGAAAATTGAGGCTTCTTTGTTTTCACACTTTCCGTGCGGAGTCAAAAAACCGAGCGGTTTTTTGAGGGGGGGGGGGGGCGCCCATAGTGGACAACATCCTTGCAGCACCTGCATCCTCCGGAAATTCCCCATGGTCTGCGCTTCCCCTTGCCCCAACTTGGGTGACCCAAGGCTTGTTGCGATACCACCAAACCCACCGAGATCATAACACAAGCCTTGGTTGTTAGACCAGAAGCCTAGCACGAAAAAACCTGCCAACGGCCCGCTAGACAATGAGACGCAGACAACAGAAGAGGTGTCTCAAATGATCACATCACATGTTTGCCACGGCCTTTTTCTTTCTGCCGCGCCAACACGTCTTGAACGATAATGACGCTTGCTCCAAGCTAGGCTTGTCCGAGCAGCACGCTTGGGCCGAGCTGCATGCTCTTTGGCTGGAAGCTTTTTTCTCACTTGCCTTGAAACTTCGCTTTTGAGTTTTAATTCCTTTGTGCGGACAAGTCCCTGCGCAACCTGAGCATAACTTTGGTCCGGCCTGTCTGACTTGTGTCGAAGCTCAGCCGGGAGTCTCACTTGGCTTGCGCGCGCACTCACGGCACACCCAGGAGGGCCAACGTCTGGCGCGGTACTCATCCCTGCGCGGGCGCGCTCGCCGGAAGGCGCAGTTGTTGCACCAAGAGTCTGCGTTGGCCGTCCTTGCTTCCGCCGCATTGGCTGCACGTGTTTGCGGCACACTGGTTGCAAGTCCAGTTGGGACAGACACTGCCGTGGTACTCTCCCTTGCGTGGACGGGCTTGTCCACACCCGCCCTGGCACAAGTGGGAAGGCGCAGTTGTTGCACCAAGAGTCTGCGTTGGCCGTCTTTGGCAAGTCTCCGCCGCATTGGCTGCACGTGTTTGCGGCACACTGGTTGCAAGTCCAGTTGGGACAGACACTGCCGTGGTACTCTCCCTTGCGTGGACGGGCTTGTCCACACCCGCCCTGGCACGGTGGGAAGGCGCAGTTGTTGCACCAAGAGTCTGCGTTGGCCGTCTTTGGCAAGTCTCCGCCGCATTGGCTGCACGTGTTTGCGGCGCGCTGGTTGCAAATCCAGTTGGGACAGACACTGCCGCGGTACTCTCCCTTGCGTGGACGGGCTTGTCCACAGCTGCCCCGGCGCGGCCGGAAGGCGCATTTGTCGCGCCAAGAGTTTGCGTTGGCCGTCTTTGGCAAGTCTCCACCGCATTGGCTGCACGTGCATGCGTCACACTGGTTGCAAATCCAGTTGGGGCACACACTGGCACGATACACTCCCGCTCGCGGGCGGGCAAGTCCACACCCGCCCTGGCACGGCGGGAAGGCGCAGCTGTCTGCGTTGACTGTCTTTGGCAGGGCTTGACCGCACTTGCCGCACTTGCTGGCGGCACACCTGTTGCAGACCCAAGTGGGGCGCTTTTTGGCGTGGTAGACACTTTTTCGCGGGCGCGCGTGTCCGCACCCGCCCTGGCACGGCGGGAAGGCGCAGCTGTCGCACCAAATGCCGGGCGTTGCATATTTGGGCAAGGCGTTGCCGCATTGCTGGCACGCCTTGGCCGGCGGCTGCGCCGGCGGCTTGGCATTGCGCGTGGCACAGGTTCTGCAGATCCCTTAATTGGTTTCTGAGTCGAGCCCGAGACTTCCAGTGACCACACTGCTTGCACTTGGCTGCCTTTGTGGCTCTGATCGGTGCAGCTGCTTCACACTGCTTGCAGCGTGCACGGCGCAGCTCCTTCGTGCGTTTCTTTCTGAGAATCTCATCTAAGTTGAAGTCTGCCAGTGTGCGCTTTTGGCCTTTTTTGGCGGCATCGCCGCACTTGGAGCAGGCGAGAGGCGGCGTCTTCGTTCGCCAAGAAAGCGGTCAGGGGCTTGAGCGACTCCTGACCTGCGCAGGCGACAGCTCAGCAGCACTTCCGGGCGCCGGCTGCGTTGCTTGGCTTACTGCTGGAACCTCACCTTGGCTTCTTCCAAGGTAATGCGCGGGCCTGTGAGATCGCCTTGGCCCAAGAGGTTGGGCCCAAATGGCCGGCTCACGCACAAGTCCTCGGCGCGCTTCACGCGAGACAGACACATGTAGGCACTGAGCTGCGCGTCTCGAGAGGGCGTGCTGTCCCAGAACCCAAGATCTAATGTGCAGGCGGGCAGTGCGGCTCCCATGAAGGAGTGCGCTGTGCCGGCATAGTCACAAGCCACTGGGAAGCCTCTTCGCAGAACGGTGGCGCTGCCTGTCGCAGCGACCTTCCAGAGCTGCTGCACTGGCCGGATGCACGCGACCCCGGCGGGGAGGCTTGGTAGCTGTCTCCAAGTGGCACCCTCGACTTGTATCAAGAGACATGTCGGCATGCTTTGCAGAACGACTTCGGTTGCGGTAGTCGCCTGCACCGCCGCAGCATCCGCATCCTGCAAGCACCAGTTCAACAGCTTCGCGCGACTGTTTTTGAACAAGCGCAGTGGCCGCAGCTCAGGCAGAGTCTGCGTGACGCGAACCGGCATGCCGGGAAGCAAAGGCGGCAAGCCCATGATGCCGCCAGTGGCCTGGTCGTGGCGCTGCAGCGAGTTTTCTTTGCGAGCTTGCAGCTCCCCGATCGCAGCTTCCGGCTCGAGCTGAAACAGAGGTGTATCCTGCGCCACAACCCAAAGGAGCACGTGTTGCCGCTCGTGGGCCACCCATCGGGCTCGCAGCAGTGCAGCTACATACTTGGCCGCGAAGCCGTGCACGAAAGGTCCTTCTAGAAACTTAGCTGCCTGTAGATCCGGCGTCTCACGTGCAGAGCCAGCGACGATGCGCCGGCGCTCTCGCTCGGTGGCGCACACGTCACACTCCTCCCTCACGCGGACGTCCCACGAGCGTGGGGTGCCGGATTGGATCTCGCGCTGCCACGCTACGGCCAGTCCGTTGCACCGGTCCTGCTGGCAGTCGCGCTGGCCGCTGTTCGGGCACCAACTGCCTGCGTGCAGCGTGGGATAGCCGTGTAGGAAGCACCACACCTCTTGGGACAGCCGCCCATACCGGGCTTGCAAGAGCACGTGGCTCAGCCACGGGTCCACGCAGCGATGTTCTTTTGTCAGCTCAAACAAGCGCTGCGTGCCGTCCTCGCCGTGCGTCCAAAACAGGCGGTGCAGGTTGGCGACTTGGACGCTGACCCCTTTGCCGAAACGGTTTTGGAACAGCGAGGTGGCGCGCACCGCGGGGAACTGCCAGAAGTCCCCTGCGCAAAGGAAGTTCACGCCGCCGAACGGCCGCTCGTGCGTGGTGTCTCTGCACTTCCATGCAGGAGCGCTTCTTGCGGGTCGCTTCTGCCAGCCGCTTTTGCAAGACGGCCAAGACCTCTAGCGCGACGGTGCTGCATTCGTCGACTATCAGCCACCGGAGTCGTTGGTACTTGACGAATTTGTCGGGGCCAAACTGCGTTTGTCGGCTCTGCTTGGGAGCCTTGATCTGCAGCTCGGCAAAAGAGTGCAGCGTGTTTCCGTCGATCAGCGCAGCCGAGCCCGAGCCGCCCTTGCCAAAAAAACTGGCACTCACGGCCAACAGGCTCGCGGCACGTCACCCATGGCTCGATACAGCCAGCATGCAGTAACCAAAAAAACAAGGGAAAAGAAGCCACGGGAGCTGCACAAGCACTCCAAATGCAGACTTGCCCAAAAAACGACATCTTTCTGCGGCGCGTGGCTACTAGCTCCCTGGCGTACATGCCTGTTGCAACGCGCGCTCGTGCTGAGCCTGAAGCACTTTCAGGATATGACCACCCCAGTTGGCGTACTGAGCTGCATAGCTCTTTACTTTAGTCTTCAAACAACTCTTGCAAACACGGGCAAGGTCACGTGGACATGTGACAGGGCGCATGGGAGTTCCAAGTGGCAGAAGCTGGTCCGGTCCGGTGGAGCCTATACTGATGCGAAAGTCTGTCCACGCCGTGAAAAAATATAGACTTAAGAGAATTCACAAAGTCGCACATGTACAAAACGTTCGTGATCGGGCTGCAGAACCAGCCCGGAGGCCTTCCCTTCAGGTACTTCAGGTATAGCCCGTCCGCCCCGTGCCGCCGACCGTGGGCAGACCATGCGAGGACTGTGCGCATACGTTTTGCGCTGGCCCTTATAAGGGGCAACGAATGGCTTGGGCGATATGCGCGGGTGTTTGTCGCATCTCCCCGATACTGGACAACACACCCGGCATTGCCAGCGTCATCCCGGATGATGCGGATGATGCTATGCACGCTGGCGATGCGAAACAAGGGGCGGAAAATTGGAAGCAGGCGTGACTGGAAGTCCACGAAATGGACATCAAAGGAATTGCACGAATTTGAGGGGGGCACTGGAGAGAAGCCAAAATGCAGGCAAATGCAAGGTCAGACGAGGGGAACCGAAGAAGGAAACGAAAACAAATTGTGGAAATTATGGAAAACGAAGAGAAACTGCGAAATGAAGGGATGTGCAGGAAACTGACGTGGAATGGGAGGCGGACTGAAGTCACGGAAACTGAAAAGAACAGAGGGGAGGACTGCGACTGACACGGCGAAACTGTCGAAGATGCAGGAAAGACGCGCAAAGGAAGTGGGGTTCAAATCTCGGGATCTGATCGGAATTAACGGAAAGGGAAGTGACAGAACGGCCAGGTCAAGGTGCCCGGTGGCCGGCTGTGTCGCGTCAGCGTGTAAATATAGTTTACAAGGTGTTCAAAGAACCAAACTCGTTGGTGGCGCTTGAACCCCAACTCTGGGAAAGCCGCTTTCACCCCGTTTGTGCTGTGATCCTCGGCGCTGGGGTTTGCTCTCTTTGGCGCGCCCGCTGCAGCCTCCAGACATCGATCTGCCATCTGCGCAACGCGTGCAACGCCTCAAAACCCGCCTTGGTCGCTTGCACCAACAAGATGTTGGCCTGGCATCAAAGATGGGCGGAAAAATAAACGCGTCGCGGATCGCTCCGCCGCTCCGTGCCTGCAAAGCCTGCTCCGCGGCCGACTTCTCTGCGCTCTTTTGATCATAGCACAGGTGGCCGGCGTACTCTTGGCCTCCGCCACTCGGTTACTCGGCGGGGCATGAACAAAACGCTCTGGGGCCCGGGCCGTCTAGACAATTCAACTTGACAATGGCTTGGCATTGAGCGTCAAATTTGCTGCAGGTGTACACCTGAGAAGCCACTCACAAGCGCATATCCTTGGAGCAAGAATCTTAGGTTCCAGCAATGTCAGACTTGGTCAAAGGTTTTTTACAATGTCTCTGCAGAAACCTGAGCAAGCATTTCCGAAAACATCTCTGCGCTGTGCTGCGTGCCAACAATTTGTGAGGCTGCCTTTCGTTCTTGCCCCAAGATCCAAGCTACACAATCCGCCGTCTAGTTCTGTAAGGGTTGCACTGGTTCAGCTCCGTCTTGTAATCTGCAATAGGAGTTGTGCCGCCCAAGGGATTTATCATGGCCTCGAGATGTGATCCCTGGCATCCGTGCAGCAACAAGCCTTGCGTAATCTTTAAGGCCCCCGCAAAAACCGGCGGACCCTGATCACCATTTCTATGTCTGAAGCAGAACTGAAGCGAGAGGAAACGCGAAGCGAGCTTTGCATCAACACGAATGGATGCCTGACGCATTCGCACACAGCTGTCTCAGTTTCAGAGGAAACAGGACCTAATACGCAAAGTTGATGAAGCATGGGTCTTTTTGGTATGGCATGAAAGTTTTCTCACAGCATGCCTCAAATTATCCCAGGACCTAACACCAAAAAGCCGATTTTCGCGGCTTGGATCCAAGGAGTTTCCCGGGGCCCGTCTGCTCTCTGCGCTTCACAGCGTTTCATTCGCTCGGGTGGTCAGCGCGAGCTGAAACCAGGGTTCACTTCTGCATCGGCCCTCGGCTTGTGAGGTTGCTCGCACATTATCTCATCCGCACTTTCTCTCATGCTAACACATTTTGCGCCTTGCTTCCTTACAGCCAGCAACTTTATGCCGAGGGTCTGGACCTGGTAAGACACATCCACGAATGCCTGAGCGTTCCCGACACGCAGAATGAATGCACGATAATGCACGACATGTGCTGACGCTGAGCAATCTGCTGACATTGTTGCTCTGCGGCGCCTGCTGGGAATTGTAAGCCTGCAAGTGCGAACACTCTGCACTCGAGATCTCACACCATCCATTCCAAACGCCAGCCACAAAGCAACAACCACCGCTTGCAAGGTTGGGAACAGAGCGCTTCGTTTCAACAACCCGAGTGAGGGCAACCCCGCAGGTGACTGCATGTGACAAGAATGGGCTAACCTGCAGATGCGGAACACTTCTAGCTCGAGGGCAGGCAGGACTGAGGAAGTCTGGCCCTGCATGAAGTTCCAGGTGAAGACATGCTCTCCCTCGGAAGCAAACACCAAGGCCGGAATGGTCCACTCAGTTCCAGTGGGTAGTTGAGCGTGTGGATTCGAGGCACCCGAATGGCAGCCCGGAACCTTCGCACACTCCCCATTCAAGCTTCCCCAAACATTCTCAAATCCCTTCACCCGGTTGAACGGCCCGGTTGAATCTCGAAACATTGCCAGTTGGGCGCACCCTTCACCCACAAGGCAGTTGTTTGTGGTCCTTCCCCCACGGCTTGCTCGAGCTGCCATCTCCAAGCCACCGTCCTTCCCCCCACTGCCCGGTAACGACAAGGCGCCTTCGCCAGCAGTGTCACACGGTCCATGCGTCCCGCGGCGGCCGGGCAGCCGTAGGAGTTCCGATTCTCCGTGCACTGTTGCAACTTCACACAGCGCACCTCCTCCGGCCGGCACCTCGGCTCGCATGCATTGCTCGCGAGGACGCGGAAGTGAGAAGAGACGGCAAGCGTGTCTGATGACATGGGACCCGAGGGACTCAAGGTCCTATGGCCAAAGCACACACCAACCACGCCGATCAAGGCCTGGCCAGATGTGCAGGCAGAGCAGGAGGATACCCAGGGAATGCCAGAACTGCTGAAGGCGTTTGCTTCATCATATCCAGTCAAAGAACCTCAGGGTGCGCTCTGAGTTGCAAAGCAAAGCTACATGGAACCGGCTAGAAATACACCTTCACCACAGACCCGCTTTCCTCCTAAAGTTCCATCCACCCCATTCCCAGCCTGAGATGCCTGGATGCGCGAACAGCATGGCGGCATCCGAACAGTCTGGCAAGCGATGGAAGCTCAGCTCGGCAACGCCCCAGGCTGCCGTACTGGCAGCTGCATTTTGCAGGAAAAGTGTGTCCTGGGGTGACGACCATGGCAGCAAAGCAGCTTGGCCCATTTTCATCTGGCCTCTCCAAAATTGCAAGCCCATGGTTTGCACGTGTGACGTGGTTACATGTCCACCAAGTATGGCCTTGGATTCCAAATCAAACGTGAGCTAAAGCCCTTGTACATGGTCTGTGAAGATCAGCCTGGTCTTACAGTGCGCACATTCCTGAACACACAATCACACAAACACACGAGCGCATATTGTTGCGAGCGCTCATATACTATTGGTTTAGATTGTATACATACAGCATGTGAATAACTCGTGTCAGTGCTTTTGACCACGCCCACCTGAGTTATACCAAGAAACCAAACACCAAGCAGCCCTTGTCCACAACCACTTTGGTGAGTGAGCTCCATGCAGATTTCCGAGTGAATACAGCCCGGGTGAGGAGGGCAAGCCGCACGCTTTCGGCCAAGCTGCGGTAGCACCGACATCACAAATCTCGAGACCTAGCGCATTCGACTGGACCGCCATCTACCAGCCCCCTCCAACTACTGCCCAGGGAGAAGTAGACAAAAACATATTGCTTGCGTGTCACCCCGTGTCATCTGCGTGTCGCCTGCGTGTCGCCCCTGTGTCACCCCGTGTTGCCCCCACGGCACCGCGTGTCACCTGGTGTCACCCTCGTGTCACTATGCTAGAACAACAGTAGATCGCTGCGAACAACGGTAGTTCTAGCGTGTCACCGCGTGTCGCCCCGTGTCGCCTCCGTGTCACCCCGTGTCACACCTGCGTGTCATTGCGTGTCACTTGCGTGTCGCCCTGTGATTGGGAAGGGGTAGGTGAATAAGATATAAGATAGTTGTTTACTGTCAACCGTAGATCAGGGATCTACTGTCTTGTATGTTATTTCGGAACTACTGCTAAATAAATGGAAGTTACAAAAATAAAAATCAAACCCTCACGATTGCGTAAAGATTTGGAGTGGACACTGCATGTCCCCCGAAACATGTCAACCTCTGCATGAGAAGCACCCAGCGACTCTTGAGATCCTGAAGGCAAAACGAATGCAAACGAGGGACCTGTTCCATCTGGTCGCAATCCCAGATTGGATTCCGAGTGCACGAAGAAGTGGGAGAGGCTGCCATTGACCACGGTGCCCAATGGCACCTAAGAGCTCGATGTCAACCAAAGCAACACACCTCTCCACCAGCCTGGCATAGCCAAACCAACGAGACTTGCAGCCCCGCTTCAAGGCCTCTCTCCAGGCAAGGGACATCTAGCGAGTTGGTTCCCACCGTTACGGTGCCTGGGCAGCAGGCAGCTAAATGTGACATCGAGCTGCCAGCAGCACACTCAGTAGCTATGCTTCGCCCGGCCGGCCTAAGGTGATGCGACCCACGGTGGAATCCGCACTGTCCGCCAGGTAGATAGTGTAGCTAATCACTTCATCTACAACGGCGGGCGGGACCTTGTCTCAACCGAGAGAAGTGCAAAGGGGCTCTTCGGTATCTGAAATGCATGGACTATGTGCGGTGAGTCGCCCACGTCAGCGTCGCCCCAATCGCACCCGTGGTGAGGTCCTGTTCAAGCCGACACCAAAAGCTGTGCCGAATTGCGTGGGACATCGTGGGACATGATGTGAGGAAAATGCTCCCTTCTGCCCTGAAGGACAAACTGTACAGCCTCTGCGCCCAGTTATCGTATTCTTGTGACTGCTTAACAATTCGAGCCGGGGCCCCGGTCCGTATCATAGAAGTCAAGGTCTGATACCAACGGTACTCCGTAGAGCCTTCGCTCTGCAACCTGCACCGGGGCACGCAGTTTGCAAGGCTGCTTTTCAGGCAGGTTCCGGAATAGTATTAGGTGTGTATAAACGCGCAGTCGCCAACAAAAGCATAAATGTAGAAATCCCGAAATGCTGGCAAAGCACTTTGGCAGAGCCACCTGACAGCAGGAAGAGCAGCAAGGGAAGCAGACTGCTCATTTGCTGCTGGTACAACCATGGCGAACACAAATACCAGCGATACCAGAACCTTCACGAGGCATCTGGGGGATGCACTTTGTTTCTTGGACTTTGAAGCTGCAATGTCTTGCATGTGGGCATGGCCTAAGGGCCTAGTGGGGGGAGTCCAATCTGTTGACTTCTGCCTGTATGGAGCGCTTCCTGTCCTCTTGAGCCATGTGGCACATATTCCCTTTCCGCGGCTTGAGAGTCATGTGCGGCCGATGCGGATGGTCCAAAAGCCAGGTTGGACCCAAATTGAGCATAGGCTGAGGGGCCCCAAGCAAGATTGAATTTCTGGGGCGCCTTTTTGCTCCATCTTGAAAAGAGCTGTTCAGTTGCAACCAAGCCATTGGGGGAGCTTGGTTCCACGCACACCCACGGATTTTGGGCAATCCATTCCTCTGCGCGCTGAGCTCTCGACTCCTCCCGTCCTTGCGCCCAACAAACGCCTCAGAGAAAAAACAGTCCTGGGATAGCAAAGACACCACGGGAACATCTGCCAAGAGTGAACCATATCCTTTGATTCCGATTTTGGCCAGCCTCTTGTAGATCTTCTTGTTGCTTTGGCTGCAAGACGCGGCTAAGCTACACACCGTACCCAGCACCGAAGATGACGGCAGAGCCCTGGGCTTTCGGCAGTACACGGCTAGGAATTCCTTGATAGTTGCCTTTCTGTTGCCTCCATGTCAACGCCATCCCAAAGTGTCCCTGACTTTCACACCGCCTCTGTTGAGCCCTTAGCCTCTGACTGATGCACGTCTCAGGAACTGCACGGTTCTCCCCAGCGAGCGCAGCATGCTGCTAAGCTGCACGAATTTCAAACTTGAACAAGTGCGACTGGACGACTGGACTGCCAATTTGCCAACGGTCTGCGGAATTTTGCTTCTGACCCCTTTGACAAAGCAATAAAAGCCACTGTCTTGAGCCGGACCAAACAACCAGTCTCTAGCACAATTGCAGTCAAGGATGCCAAACCAAGCATCACGCTCGCCCCGACTGCCAGGCTTTCTTCAGGTTCGGATCTGAACCGACGTGTTTGAGACAGCACTACCCTCTGGCGAAAAGAGTGTGAGAAGAAAGCTGCCTTTCTCAATGCTAACTGCGGCCTTGGGGTTCTGTACAGGGAGGCGAACGGGCCTCACAGGCTGTCTCCAGATGTCTCAAGCATCTCTCCATGGCGCCCGAGACTCGTGTGCCCTAAGTGCAACCAGGTTTTGTCGCAGCATGGCTCGCTGAACTTGGCTCCCGGCTGTGGGTCTCAAGACCTGCAAGAGCGAGCGCGTGGAAAGGTTCATCACTCTGGGGCCCTCTGGGGCCAGGGCCAAGTCACGGCTTGCTTCTGTCCACCCGTCTTCATTGCCTGGACGACGCAGACGCCGACAAGTCATGTCTCTCGCTCTCTCGCTCTCTCGCTCTCTCGCTCTCCCGTCCCCGTGCCTCCAGCTCCAGCTCCCACAGGGGGCTCATGTCCCGCAACCGGCGGACCTGCGGTGCCAGGTCAGCCATGGTCCAAAGCGCCAAAGGGCTCCCGAAAGACAAGTCTGATCAAGTCGATGAACCGAGGCCGAGCAATCAGACTTGATCAAGCATGTTAGGATACTTCCACGCAGCCCACAAGCCCAACAGCTGAGACACGCAGTGCCGATGAGGCCAACACACAATCACTTGAGACGCCGTGAGCTCTGGTCGCAACTAATAAGCAAATGCATGGCAAAACCCCTCTTAGCCTTGCTCCGCCTAGGTATCTCAGGTCGCTGCCTCCCTCACGACATCGTTCACAGTCTTGTCCTTACATGGGTATGGGTCAAAATATGGGTCAACATAAAACCACCAGGGGACCGCAGGTTTTAGTCTTTGGCTCCATTTACCAGGGCTCCATCTTGGGTGTGTATTCTTGACCCACAGCGACATCTCCGTTGCTCGACCGCTTGATCCTCTTGCAAGCCACACGCATCGGCTCTGAAACGCTTGAGCTTCCAACCACTTCTCCCGCAGTGGTGAAGCGGCCAATTCCAAAGCGCAAAGACCTGACGCGGCGAAACGAGCAGTGCTCAGCTGGCTTCGGCCAAGCTAAGCTACTGGGTAGCCGTATCTTCATAAAAGCACTCTGTCACAAACCCCAGCCGATACTCCGTGAAAAATACTTGTCAGTTGTCCTCTAGTGGGTGACTTTGATTGGAAGTTTGGAGGTGTTCCGGGCTGCTTTTTCCCGTTTGCTCAACAAGAAGGGGTAAAAATCCCGCCAATCCAAACTACTTGAGAGTTACCTGGCCATGGGTCAAAATCCCGTACCCCCAGTGAACATCCCAATCCCACTAAAATAGGTTCTAAAATGGGTGGTGCACCGAAAACCCCAAAATGGGATCCCATTGGTCTTGACATGTTTTGACCCACAGCCACCTGAATTTGTGAACCAGTTGAACCCTCCGCCACAGCAAACGAACCACGTTGGCCCAGGGGCGTGTGCGCCAAGTCCTCCGAGACACCGATGGCGCGGAGCACGTAGGACCTGGGCACTGGTCGAATTGGGGATTATCCTTGCGCGTTTTGATGTAGCATTTTATGTATGCACATATCTAAATATCTATGTATCTCATTATATATATATATATATATGATTAGATAAGTTCGCAATGGGAAAAAATGGCTCAATGGCAAAACCTGCCAATCTGCCATGTTGTTCGACTTTGGCTCTTGCCTCATGCAAACAGTAGCCATCCCTAGAACACATAATGGATGCAGTGCTCAATTGTTGACCGATCCCAACAGCAAACAGGGCTACCAACAGCAAACAGGGCACGCACGCCCACTTTGGTTCATTTGAAACGGACTCGTCACTAACATTGAAGAAACCATAATGTGTTGAGACCTGCTTGAAGGGTCGACAACAAGCCATGCCCTTCTCGCGACAAGGGTCTCCAAGACGCCATCTGCGCTTCTGGACAGGGCCGGATCCTTTTGCACAGCCAGGGAATCCCAACGACCTGTGATTGAGGGAAGCCGTGATTTTGGGGGCAACCCCCCCAATACCTACGCCAATATTCTTACAGAAGGGCCCCTCATGGGGGGTGGGTTTTTGACACATTGGGATTTCGTAGTTTTTGTGCGTATGTTTCCTCTGCACTTTTCCAAAGAACTAACCAACTCGAGAAAACCAAGAAAACAAACAAAATGTCAGACCCTAACTCTGCCAGCATGGATACATAGGGTCTGAAATGTTGTTTTTGTGTTTTGTTGGGTTTCTTGAGGTTTTCTTGGTTTTTGAGGTTGGGGTCAGCAAGAAGAAACCAATATCCGCAAGAAGGACACATTTGCCATCGCAGCCTGAGCATTTCACTTGCTAAACGCAACCGAGTTCTATTCAAATGAACTGCAAGAAACAGCCAGCTTGTCTTTCTTTACCATATTATCCAAACTATGACTAAAAAATAATTAAAGTCCTGGATACTTGGAAAGGACATCCCAGCTCAATTATGATTGAAACAAAAACAGCAGCTATGATTGAATCAGATAGACAAAACTACCAGCTTGTCTTTCCTTACTGAGTTCTAGCTATACACATGTCAAATACAGATCATATTTGGAAAGAACACCCCATTTAGAGTTGGATGGAATTCCTGTTTACGATAAACTTAAAAATAACAAAACAAATAAATAACTAAATTCTACTTGACAGCATATTTGGATAAGACCCCAATACAAATCTAAAACTAACAAATAAATTCAAGATGCCCATTAACTTCTAATTGGAACCCTGTTTGGAAGGGAAGTGCTGACTAATATCTAGTTCAGGAAAATGAAGTGAAGTCTGATTGAAATCCAATTTGAATGTAAGTAAAGCCTCGCAATGCAAAAACCTTGCAAATCAATTGTAATGAAATCAGTTTTTTCCAGGGGGGTTCCTCTCTTTTCAGAGGCGTGCATTGCAGATTAGAAGAACCAACAAGCTTCTCTTTCCGCTTCGACTTGGCGCCCCTGGCGGTTCCAGGGAGGCGCTGGTGCAGGCGGAGCCGCTGGACACCGCCGTGGTCTTCGCCAAGGACCTGAGTCTGACAGTTGGGGGGTTGCCATGGGTCTTCAAACAGAAAGCAACGTCTGAGTGAGAGCTGACAGTTGCCATGGGTCTTCAAGGAAAAAACAACATTGATTGGATGTTTTACAACATTCATTTGATAAACAATATAGAGTGAATATGGTCATAATATGAGCTAACTTATATTTAGAAGAATCTGGCCCCAAAGGAAGATGGAGGATTTTCAAAGAGGCTCCTGCCAAAAGCAACTTTGGATGCTTCAAAACTGTGTGCCAACCAGTGAGAGGTGAGAAATGCTGGTGGATACTTCCTCGAGGATGCCCTTCGGGTAGCTGTTTGGGCTTCTCATGGCTCGTAAATCATTCGAGAACAGGAATAAAGCTAGGGCTCTTCGAACAAATCGAGGCTCAACACATGGATTTGATGCACGCAGGAATAGCCCCGAGGGTGCGAGAAGCAAGCGGCTTTTGACGAAGGACAAGCCTGAGGCTCGTGCATCAGAAGACTCTCACCCTCGACGCAGGCAAAAGACAGATTCACATTGCCAGGATACCTGTCGGCTCGAGCTAGAGACAATTGGCTACCGCACTAGTTCACAGCCTCCAGAAACATGGTCTAGAGGGCACGAATGCAGTGTTGGTGAGTCTTGCTTGTTCGGAGCTTAGCCAGGCTACTGTTTCCTGGCTATATACTTGATAAGAGTCGACAACAAGGTGAGGGACAGGTGAAGTGAAACCTCTACGCGAAACGCTTGCGAATCTGTCTCCCTGAGGCCCAGCCTCGCTGATGGAGAGCCGTTCAGGGTAATCTGAGGCAGCTGTTCCGTGATCTGATCGTGCATGCGCTTGTACCTCAGCTCACAGCTCACTTCAGCTCCTGCCATTTAAGGCGTGAAGGGGTTCAGGCTCAGGTTCGCATGTGACGCTTGTCGCTTGTCAGGTGGTGCCCCTGTTGGCGCTCCGTAGCTCGACACAAGCTTTGCCAGGGACACAGCCACTGCTTGTCAACAACGTCAGCACACTCGAAAGCTTCACAGATCCTAAGCATCCAGCAGCATCTCGACATGGCGATGGTCATTCTCCATTTCCGCCATGCACACCTTTGAAAAGTGAGCTGGCAAAGAGTCGGCGAACAGTCTCAGTACAACATGCTTGCTCGCAGCTTCAGCCTCTTACAAGTTTCATCTGCCGGGATTTCTCATCTCATGAAACAAACAAGTGGCATGGTTCCAAAAGTGGATCACTACGCCTAGGCCGTGCAAGCGCCTCTATGCCAACCGGCCGGGTCCAGTCACAGCCCGGGCCCGGAAGGCCGGACCCGGCTCGCGCCTCTGCCGCCGCCCCGAAGCCCACGATGGTGGGGGTCGCCAAGGTGCCGCTCCGCATGCCGCGCTCCTAGGCGCTGCCGCTAACGGAACCAAAAGCCAAATGAGTCGCAATCAAAACCCGGGATTAAAATAGACTACCCAGAACCATGTAAGGAATTCAGAAGGCGGCCGCAACTATTTCTGGCTGGGACTGCCCCTTGCAAACCTTCATCTACCCGGGTTTTGATTGTGGCTCAAATGCAGGTGTCATGTGTGTGTGTGTGGGTCAAAACCCCTGTACCCCTGGTGAACATCAAAGTAGGTGGCAAATGGATGTTCATCCACCCCAAAATGGAGTGATAGGTTGTGCCCCGTGGCCGTGTCTGTGTGTCTGTGTCCCTGTGTCCCTGTGTCCCTGTGTCCCTGTGTCCCTGTGTCCCTGTGTCCCTGTGTCCCTGTGTCCCTGTGTCCCTGTGTCCCTGTGTCCCTGTGTCCCTGTGTCCCTGTGTCCCTGTGTCCCTGTGTCCCTGTGTCTCTGTCTGTGTGTGTGTGTGTGGCTGTGTGTCTGTGTGTTTGTGCTCGTGTGTGTGTTGGTTTGTTTGTGTGTCCGTGTTTCAAGGCTGGGGACCCCTTCACCTAGTTTGAATACACTTCCTCCCCAGTCTTTCGCGGGACACACATGCTCAAATTTGGCTTGTAATGAGGCAGGCTACCAACTGGGCTATGCCAACACAAAAGCAATCCTAGCGGAAACCCGGGGAGCCCGTCCAAAGTTCGCACAACCAAAGAACTGCCAGGGTCCCAAAGAGAGAACCGACGCCAAACTTCTCCTGGCCGCCGCCATCGATCACTGCTCTAAGGCGGACCTCGGGCAACCGGCCTGCAAATTGCATCCAGAGCTCTGTACTCGCTGGGCTGCTGACCCTTGGCTTGCGGCGAACGTAGAGCGCACCCACGCCCTTGGGGCCGTACATCTTGTGAGCTGAGATTGACCTGCGGTAGCATTTCATGGTGCACAAATATTCATGGTCAGCTTCCGATGATGCGTGTTTGAGGTCGTCGCATCAGTGCTACTCCAAGCTTCTTGACATCCACCGGCACCTTATTTCGCGACCATGCTTGCAATCATGCTCGGCTTGGGCAACATGAATTGTTGCTCAAGATTCATTGCCCGCCTTGCCAACACTCTGGGCTGCGTCGGTATGAAAAAGCACCTCCGCAGAGCATGCATCAGCCACAATGTCAAATCAACTAGATGGAAATCCGTTTGGTTGAAGTATTGTTGGTTTCTATTTGAACACCTATCTGTGGAAACTCATTTTGGAGTCGCAGTGTAGTTGGCAACACAACTCGCGCCCGCCTTCCTTTTGGCGCAAATCTGTCCCATCTCCTCGAGCGGCTGCATGGTCCCAATCTCGTTGTTCACGTGCATGATGGAGACCTCCGCGGACTGCATGGGTCCGGCCGGCCCGGGGGGAGGGGGTGCGGGGGCACATGTGATGTCAGCAGCTTGCTTCGAATTGCGCGAGGGTGACTTCAGCGAACGCCTGAGCCTCAGCCCCTGACAAGTGCGGTATCATCACGAATCGCATTTTCCAGGTCCTGTGCTACTGAGCACAGCATCTTGGCTGGGTGTACTGGATCCAACTGCCAGTTGCGAACACCTAACAAGCTTGGTCACCGCGCAGTGGTCCTACGGTCAGGCCCATTCCAAGTAGCAAATTGGTGGGGGCACCTGCAACGGGGCCTGTTCTGCCGGAAGAAACCCAAAACGCAAGTCTTCGCATCCTGCAGGCTCACGAGGCCCCATTTGTCCACAGGAAGGTAGGTCACACTCCTGTCAGACGTCGGCAGAGCTGAAGTATGGTGAAGTGGCGGCCGAAAATTGGACATGGACGCCAAAGCCCCAATCAACTTGGCTTAACATGGATCCTGGCACCAGCGTTGACGCCTGACGCCTGACCACGAGCCCCACCGGACCAGTCTGAGGGAGCGGCCAGCCCTTGTCAACTTCGAGGCGTCGGCAGGACGCCAAGACGCATTTGTGCCTCAGAGGCTACCAACAGCTAGGTGTGGCAGGTGTCTTTTTTTTGGGGGAACCCTCGTTTTGGTTGGTTTTGCAGAGAAACCAAAAGGACCCCGGCTATTTTGGTTTTCCCTTCTCTTTTTTCCGAGACAATCCCAGGTTCGCACAGGCACCATGCAAACACCCAGGAGCGGACTCGGTCTGGGTGGTGACAATGTGCTTCTTCCCAGACCCCTCGTAGAAGTCGGCCACGCCCTTGACCGCCATGTTGTTCGACCTGGGCACCGTTAGCCGAACCTTTGGACAGTGGACGCTGTGTCTCACAGGCCAACCAAGCTGCAGGTCAGCCTTCGGACCCCCTTTGCAGGAATACAAGAGGCCCCCGAACGGCGTGGACGAAGGATTTTTCATGTTTCCCGAGCAGGTCAAAGGTTTACCCAGAAGTCTGCGGCGCTCCGGCGCTGAGAGTGAGGCTCGGTAGCACCAGAGGTGAAGAAAATCTCCTGGGCCGAGCAAAAATCCACCCTCGAACGCCCCGAGACCGCGTCAGGCGCCATCCCGGCCTTGGGATCTGCGTTGATGAGCTTCGCCACCTTCTCGCGCGCCTGACGCAGGTGCCGAGCCCATCCGCCAATTTGCTCGGCTTCTGCAATTACAGCACCAAGTGAAGGCCCTTATGCATTCATTCAAGGGTCAACACGCGAATCCGGAAAGAGTATCTCAAAGGCTGCATCCACTTTGCTGGGAATGGCATGTCCAAAGAAAGTTGGGGTCCAAGGAGGGCTTTTTCCCAAGCTTATGCTTATCCTGAGCTTATTCAATGAAGTCTCTCTTGCGGCTGTTGCCTGCTCTGTGGCCTCCTCTGCATCCCAGCCTGACCCAAGCCCCCCCACTAAAAATGCAGCTCCGCAAGGGAAATCCAAGGTCCGCGCCGTACGAGTGGCTGCGGCTGTGAGGGTTGCCATATTTTCCGTGGTAGTAGGGAAGCCTCACTCTCTCGCTGAGGAATCGCCCGTGTAAGCATGAACAAATTGGGCTGCAGGCATGGCATCCAAGACTCGAGGATCTACTGGCGTGGTAGCCTCCCAGTCAGCGAGGCGGAACGAGGAATGAAACTTCCCTTGACTGCTTGAAGCCATGCAAGGTGTGTCCAAGCACGCGGCAAAAGTTGGTTTACCAAACATCCCCAGTCGGCGTGATGCATCCAAAACCAGGCCTGCATGTCCAAATAGGATGGCACACCTCGCTCCTCGTATTCATTCCTGAGTCAAGCAAGAACCCATCGAGTTGGCGAGCAGCTGGCGGGTTGGCGTACCAGAGAGAGCCATTCTGTCGGCGACTTGCAAGGATTCTCAGCCTGCAATCAGCGGATGGACTTGAGACAAGGTGGGGCAAAGTCTATCAGCATGGCCTACTCAACAAGACCTGCAAATACCTAGCTCCCCTTCACATCTGTCCATGCCAAAACATCCCTGTCCTCGGAAGGGGTCGGCAGCCTCTGGCCAACTGTGTAAGTGCCATTGCTGCCATGGCTGCTAAGACTAGCAGCTATGGCAACGCCTCAAATATCGCGGAGATAAGCTGAAAAGCCCAAGCACCCCGTGGCAGCTGCAATTCTGAAAACCTGAGAACTGTCATGATCTCCTGAGAAGGAGCTCTTGCAAACCTGCCGAACACGCTTATGCGAAACTCACGGACCATCCCTGAAAGGCCGAACAAACAACTTCTCTTTGACCACAGAGTGGCCCAACATCATAGGCTCGGAAGGAAACTCATGGCAACTGAAGCACATCAAGACTCTTTTCAAACCACTCCAAGGGGGAAACTGGGATAAAAGAACAAAAACAAGAAAAGGCGGCTGCGCAACCTGCGCGCCAGTGTCCCGCGTCCCGCGTGCCGGGGGTTTCGCAGGCGTGAGACCCCGGGTGGGTCGCGCGATTTTTTTCGTTTTTTCGAAGCGAAGCTATGCGGTCAGGGACTCCCAGGCCGCTGAGACCTGCGCAGCTCCGAGCTCTTGGACACTGGCACCAGGATCCCTCTGTCTAGGGGGAAACAAAACGAAACGGGGGCGGTCCGTCTGGTGTCCATGGGAAAACTACCCGCAAAAAAAACACGAGACACCCACCAAAATCAGGTTTACTTGACAAGCTGAGACCAACAAAGCAGGCTGAAACGGTTTCTGTAATTACAGGGGAAGTGGCTCGGAAAATCATGCAGCTCAGCATGGGATACCCCCTGATGTGATGTACTGCGCATATGGTACACCCCCCGCCCCAAAGGACCTGCTCTCCTGCCAAAAAATGCTGTAAATTAAAGGTGCTTCTTCTTTTCAGCGTTTGTGCCCTTCATCCTTCAATGTACCCCATCCGGGAGAAAGGAAGGCGCAAATACATACCGCTTGAATGGTGTATAGCACGGCTGGGCTAGGGGTGCATGGTGGACCCCATAGGCCCATAGGCCTTTGCATTTGGTTGACGTGCGGAGCTATGCCCGCAGGATATGGCAACTCCTTGGGAACGCCGCAACCCAACTCCTTGTTGTTCAACCTTCACTTCGCCAAGTTGATCGGCCTCAAGTTGATACAACGCTGCCATCATACGGGACGGCCTGCTCCGGGGTCATCGGAGCAGGACTCAGCGGCGCCAGAGGCCTGATGGCTGTCGAAATGTGTCCCTGACAAGTTGCCGAACCCCCTTTGCTTCGTGTACCCTCCTGTCACCAGCCTGTCCACCAACATGGAACCCACCAAAGGGTCGTAGTTTCTTTGCGCTCCTCACCCACCCTTACGAATTGCTTGTTTTGGCTTACGCGACATGGGACACAAGAACGCCTTGCGCAGCTCTTGGAAAAGCGGCTTACGTGACAGTTTATTTTGAATACACGTTGGCAGCTCTAGCTAAAGCATCGCAATTCTTCTGCCCTTGCGCGATTGTATTACAGGCAGTGTAGCTTACCTCGAAACTCGCAGCTTTCCAGCACACTTTACTACGTGAAAGACCGCAAGGAGGTAAGGGCTACTACTCAAACAACATAGCCAGGGCTTTTGTGCATCTTGATGCATCTTGCATGCAGCCTTACATGTGCCATACTCGTGCCATACGCGCCAATTGCAAGCACTGTCTGTAGAGAAAGGCATCTTCTGTGAACTACATGGCCACTGGAAGCCAAGGGGATCACCGCAGTCTGGCGCTCGAGCTGTCTCAGGGGAGTCTAAAGGACATGAACATGAGGCATTCAAAAGGAAGCGTACCTCAGTGGTAGCAGGGATTGGATTGGATCGGCCACCGGGTACAAAAGGCATCGTTTCCACTCTCAGCTTCAGACTCGGCGTTCTGCGAGACGCTTGGAATATGCAGTGGCTCACCACATAGAAGCCCTTTCTCCTAAGGCAACTGCATTCAGAGGCTCAATCCTATGAGCCGCATACTGCTGATATGGCCATGGGTCAAAATTCAAATCGTACCAGTGAGCATCCCAACCCCCACTAAAACAGGTTCTAAAACGGGCGGTGAATTCACCTACCAACCAAAATGGGATGCCATTGGTTTTGACCCATGGCCATGGGTTTACCCATAAGACACAGAAATACTCCAAGAACAACCAGCAGCCAGGCCTGGCCAATCTCCAAGATCTCCTTCCACTCCTTGCCTGCCCCCAATGGTTACGGGGGAATGCCCATAGGTGTCCAATTTTAGGGGAAATAGATGGGCTTCCCTGGTAGATGAGAAAAAACCACCAGG